GACCTGCGCGGACTTAGTACTGTGTTTAAGATAAGGCGTGACGCCCACATAAGGTCAAATTAAAATCTTACATTGAGCTTGAAATTTTGTCCACATTTGGATTGTTTGTTTCATGCCCTTAGTTTTTCGCGGTTTGAATTTATTGTAAAACTTCGACTTTCGGGGGTTAAGGATCTTCGGGGTGAAGATGGCAACTAAAATATTTGCCGAAACGTTGGATAACATTCGACGCGGTTCATCCCCGAAAGCCGAACTTGTGTATTATTTGCCGTTTTTTTTCGTTTGTTTCTTTCGTTTGAGTTACGTCTTCTCAACTACATACGAAGGTCTACAGGTGGAATGAGTGTGAATGATGAATTGTGAAGCACATTTGGAGGTAAGCGGCTGTGACCTATTTTAAGGTACCATCTTAGGGACTTTAGAAAATGAATGGCACAGAATAGTCCGTCGTACATGATGACCTCCCGACTATGCAGTAGGCTGCACTGCGACATTCGTTCCAAAATTGGAGTTTAAAGTATGTAACATAGTTGAAATTTAAAAATATCAGAAGATGATTTCCTGTCGTCTTTACTTTCAGTATGTAACGAGCCGTTGTGGCTATGGATGTCATCTGGAGTACTGATACATCATCCAGATTTATTCATTCACCACTTAAAATGTTAACAGCGAAATGTTTGATTATCATACAGGCTTACTCTATCTAAACATCATTGCAATTTTACTTCCCTCTAACCGGGCGTATATTTGTATGTTTGTATATTTGATCCACTTTCATTGTGGGGCAAAACACGAAAACTGCAATGAACGTAAAGAAAACATAACATTTTACTTCTGTGCGATATGCAAATTTTATCGCGTTTTAAACTGAGTAAGACCTATGAAGAATAGAATCAAAATATATCTAGAAATAAGTACGTTTGTGAAGGTGTGAAGTGGGTTTAACTTACCACAGGTTAGGGTCTATGTAAGGTCTATATAATTTCTTGACTGACTGAATTACCATAAACTATGTAAGAAAAAACGCGGGATTTGGCCAGTTATACTTAACTGTTTGTAATGCAGTGATTAATGTCCGTACAATTTACTATTCAAGAACTCATAATTTTTCCGAGGGGACTTCCTTTGGTTTTAAGAATAAGGAGGGACCAATCTCCTCAACGTCTTCACTTGACAGAGCTTTGTAACTTTGTTGCGGTGTGTTTTCGTGGAGGTACGAACCAGATTGAAATATATTGACGAGCTTTTTGTGTTTAAGAGTTAAATTTTGGTTGATATGAATTGCAATCATCAGCTAAAGGGACTGAGGAAATATTCTATAACTCTACAGATTGTTGGGCGCTTCCATCGCCTACTACTTGAAGTGAAAATATTGAGCCATTGTAACATCATGGAGACATTCTTATCAGTACATGAATTACCCTTAAATGTTCTTTACAATTACTTTCCTTTTACTTCGCATTTCAACACATGACAGACATGGCTGGAAACATTGCAGATAGTTAACACTGGATGACCACTCAGACCGGGAGGAGACGTCGTTGGTAACGCTTTGAGCCAGTTGCATTTGCTCGGTGTGCCGGGGACGTACGAAGCATTCCGATTCCTGATAATTATTTCCGTAAATTTTATGTTTGCAGTTTATATTTATCTTGTATCAACACACTGCATGTATTTTATTTAATTTTTGTCTTACATAGTCGAAGTCAGCATGCTTTCAGTAATTTTACAAAACAGCCATAAATTTATGTCTTGTCCATTGTCTGTTTTATGATATATACGACGTTTTGGAAGTTAGCGCTGCTCACATCTTCAGATAGCTGGTTGGCATTGTATTGACACGTTTCTCCTTATTGTGAGTACGGGACCTTTTGAAAGGTCTCGGGTTCGACCCCGATCGGAAAGAAAATTATCAGTATCCACGACCTTTTCCTCTGCCACCCTTTCCGATTTATCGTTTACATTAATCCTTCCATATCATATTCGACGTTACATGACTTCAGCAATTGAATCAGCGTCGTAAAAGGAACGAATATATATATATATATATACTGTTGTTTTATGATAGGGACAACATTAAGTCTTACAGTGTTCATTGTTTGTTAACAATGACTGTAGAGCGAGATCGGTGACTCTTGTAGAAGCTCGTTGGCATTTCCATTTGGGATGGACGTGACCACTTCTTGACTTCTTGATTGACACTGACTGAAGCCGCTCAATCACCTTGCGTATGCGTAACACAGCTTCAGTAGCTTCAGACGAACAATGTAAAGAGACCGGTTACTTTCGTATTATACACGTTTAATGGAAACATTTAACAGCCCCCAAAACAAGTTGCAAAGTACACGGCTTGCTTAATATAAATAAACCCTAGAAACGGAAACTGCCATGATGTCCGCTCCATTTATCGTATGCAGCTGTTACGCCGCTCCATTCGACATACAAGATTTAGTTTTCTTAAAAGAGAAGATTATGGAAGAGATTGCACCGTTTGTGAAGGATGTGTCTGCTGTGTAGGCATGTACGCTGGCTGGGTCTGCAGCCCCGTTTTATTAACTTTGTTGGTGGCGAATCGTTATAAACTTCCTTTGTCTTCCTCTAAACTTGTATTGGGATATTTGATTGTGAGCTTGGTTATTTTGGAAAGTGATAGGTCTCACGCTTTTAAAGACAACTAAGAACTTATATTTAAAGGTGCGTGTGTCCTCGTCCTAACAGTTATATATTTCGACGATATGATTTCATTACCAAGAAGTAAATAAACGCGGATTATATAACTAGAACATTAACTGTTGCCCCTATAAATCGCATTTGACTGTGGTTGTGTTAAATTAATAAATCAATGGTTTACAAATTTGAAAGAACTTCTTTGATGGCTATGGACCGATTCTATACGTTGGTTGTGATTTTATCGTAGCAGTTGAATCTCTGTTAGGCATGTGCATGTATTTACCTATTATATTATACGATCTTATTATATTATTATATAAGAACCTGTTACTCATTTGCTTCTTCGATGTATACTTGTTTGCGCTCACAGAGGCCTGAAAGTTCGTATTTAATGACACTAGATGGCACAATGACCTATTCCACAAGTGCTGAAATCATTAGGCAGGTTTCAGAAGTACGTCTAATATAGTTATGAAAGTATTTTAATGACGTAGCACGGCTGATATTTTTTATTGTTCCAAGTGGAAATGTGGGAAATTAAGACAGAAAGAAAGAAGGAAATCGATGTATGAATGGAAAATGAGAAAAGAAGGCAAGGAATGAAGATACGAAAGAACGTTTGTGTGTATTCCGTATCTCACCCATGCGTTCTGCATGTTCCTCCCATTTCATCCTGCTTGATTTTGTCATCCTTTTCCATATGTCTTGAGGAGTAAGTTACAAATTATGAATTTCCTCATTATGTAATTTACCCAGCCCTATGCCAGATATTTTCCTAAGCGACTAAGTGGCGCACACACTCAGTCTATGTAAGATACCTGTTTTCACGCCCATATAAAACAGCTAAAAGTATAGTTCTGTACTTTTAATCTTTGCATTTTTACATACAAAATATAATTAATTGCACGGTAGCAAATATTTTCCTAATTTAGTCTGCTCTTGATTTTTTCTTCAATGAAATTTTGATTTATTACTGTCGTTCACAAATATTTTAACTTTCCACATTTTCTGAGGGCTTATTAGCTTCTATATATATTGTGATTTTGTCCCATAGTCTGGCGACGAAACATGAACGTACACTTAGTTTCCTCCACGTACATCTAAACCAACTTCCTTGATAGCTTCTAATAGAGCTTTTATGTTGTTCTTTATTATATTTATGTTTTCACCCAACAAATTATTATCATCAGCACAGGCACATTGATGTCGTGCATTCAGTTCCATTTCTCTTTCTTTCCTTGGACCTTCTTGATGGCGATTTCTAAAAGCAAAGTTGAAAATCACTGTCAATAAAAATTCTCCTTGATACAGACCATTCAAAATAGGAAATGCATCAGCTCTATTTATGTTCTTTAATTTAATAAGTGGCTGTATATAAGCATTTTGTTTTACTAGAAGAAGCTTTATTTTGTGCTTTTCAAAATAAATCAGCTTTCATGCTCGATACTGATGGGCCAACAGATCTTTTCGTTTAAACCATAGACATTTAGGATGTTTTATATACAAGCTATTTTACTTTATGGAGGATTTTGTGTTTAACGTGTGTGTGTGTGTGTGTGATTAAAAATTAACTGCTATGTATTTTCGAAATGTTTGTCCCTGCCCCTATTTCATTAATCACTGACATAACGTAGACCTAAATCAACCAAACTTACATCACTTCGTATTTATAAAAGAATCCATTGAAGTTTCTGTATTGTCTACAGAATCCAGGATGCACACTTCGATTTTCTATAGAAAACTACGGACCGCTAAGTCATAATGTATCGTGTATTTATAATCCCTGTATTATATTGAATGCATAAGGCCCTTCCATTGTGTGTTGTTGGGTGTTCAGTTTGTCATAGCGTCGGATAGCGGACGGTCTTTCTGGAGCCAGTACACACACGCCCTATTATCATCGTGTAAACTCTTTTTAGGGGCTTGCGGTATTAAAAATTCATACATCGCTCACCTGTACAGGAGGAGGCGAATATACAACCCATTTCAAAAATATCTTAGTGACCTTCCTGTGTTTGTTTAAATTATTTTCCTGCAATTTTTGTTGGCTGTGGGACATATCTTTGTTTCTCGACAGGTGTTAAGATTCAGTATTTTATATTCATTTGCCTCAACAAATAGAAATTTTGCTTTGATTATTGATACCAATACAAAATATTTGTATGGATATGAAACATGGTCTTTCACATTAAAATAATTATTGATATCGCATCAGGGAGTGTGAGATGGACAAGGCATGTAACATGCATGAGGGAGATAGGAAATGCATACAAGACTTTCTGTCTGCATGGCTAGTGTGCGTGAATATTGCGTATGCTTACTACGAAACTGAGTCAGACTTCTACGCATTCAGGCTCACCGTTCTAGTAACTGCAGGCAACTTGTAAGCGTACCTCGTGCTGCCTGTAAATAGGCACACTGATAAGCAGCAGCGTTGCTAGTCGACGTGAAGATGTGTTGTAGGCCAGAAGCTACGCAGTTTCTTTGACTGGTAACAAGGACAGTTAGGAAGTTGGATTGCATCACCTTTTGCTAGTAGGTATTTTTTGCGATTTCCGTCGTTTTCTGACAGTTCGAGTGATTATAACATTTCGAGAAATATGTAAAGAAGTAGCCATTGAGGGAGGGGGGGAAATATCAGGCCTACACGTCTTGTACGTGGTAGATAATGATAATGAAATTTGGCATTGTCTGTTGACGAATACTGTAAATAAATCGACAAGAAAATATCGATGTACTTGAAGACGGAAACAGTCTTGGAGGTTAAATGATTCCAGTAGGTCAGAATCTTAATACTGCTCTCCGATTATTAATCACATATGTCTACAGAGTCTGTACGTCAGAGAATGGACATGTCCAAAACACTTGGGTATAATTAGAACTTACTGTCATATATTCTGTTGCTTTTTCGAATGGGTAGTAGAAGTTTGGTCTGAAAACCGTCTTTTAATTGCAGATCACCGCAGCGATTTTTCTGTTTCTTTCACGCACCGGAGGAATAAATGGCTGCGAAAATAATTGATCGGTGGTATAGAAATTTTGGGACCCCTTTTATTTCTCGTCTTTTTATTCTTTAAACGTCAACCTAATATGTACTGGACCGTAGTGCATACTGTGAGGTTGTTTTTCATGGTCCTGATTTCAAGCTGGTCGGTAACTTTGTTACCCTTGTAGGAAAGGTTACGGGTGATACAGTGCTGATCCTCTTCATGA